CTCTCTTACACTCTCGCTGCAACCCTCTCTCCTGTCTCTGTCTCTCTCTCTCTTTCTCTTTACTCTCTTCACTACAATCTCTCTCTCTCTCTCTGTCTCTGTCTCTCTCTCTCTTTCTCTTACTCTCTCACTACAATCTCTCTCTCTCTCTGTCTCTGTCTCTCTCTCTCTTTCTCTTACTCTCTCACTACAACTCTCTCTCTCTTTCTTCTGTCTCTGTCTCTCTCTCTTTCCCTTACTCTCTTACTACAATCTCTCTCTCTCTCTCTACTGCTCTCGCTACAAGCTCTCTCTCTCTTTCTCTTACTCTCTCACCATAACCTCTCTCTCTCCTTACTCTCCCACCACAACTTTTTCTCTCTCTCTCCCACTCCATCTTCCCACCTCTCTCCCCACTTCTCAATCTCTCTCTCTTTCCCTCACTCTCTCTTTTCTTCTATCCTTCTCTGATTCTCTCATTCACTCTTTTGTTGAAATTGTGCGAGGCCTGGACAAGCATATACACAGAAATAAGTACAATACCTACCAGGAAAGATAGATAGATAAATGTATATCTATCAGAATAAACAGATANTGTGTGTGTGTGTGTGTGGTGTGTGTGTAATGTGTGTGTGGTGTGTGTGTGTGTGTGTGTGTGTGTGTGTGTGCGTGATGTGTGTGTGTGTGTGTGTGTGTGCGTACGCGTGTGTGTGTGTGTGTTGTGTGTGTGTGTGTGTGTGTGTGTGTTGTGTGTGTGTGTCGTGTGTGTGTGTGTTTGTGTGTGTGTGTGTGTGTGTGTGATGTGTGTTGTGTGTGTGGTGGTGTGTGTGTGTGTGTGTGTTGTCGTGTGTGTGATGCGTGCGTGTGTGTGTGTGTGTGTGTGGTGTGTGTGTGTGTGTGTGTGTGTGGTGTGTGTGTGTTGCTGTGTGTGTGTGTGTGTGTGTGGTGATGTGTGTGTGTGCGATGTGTGTGGTGTGTGTGTTGTGTGTGTGTGTGTGTGTGTGTGTGTTGTGTGTGTCGTGTGCTGTGTGTGTGTGTGTGTATGCGTGTTGTGTGTGTCTGTGTGTGTCTGTTGTGTGTGTGTGTTGGTGTGTGCCCGGCGTGTGCATATATGTGTATATAAGTGATATCTATAGCTAGAATATGTAATTAGTGTATATATATATATATGAATATATAATATATACATATATATATATATATATATATACTATACTAATAATATATATATATATAGTATATAATTATATATATTAAATAATATACTATTATATTAAATACAATTAATTATACATCTTTAAAAAATAATACTGATAATTGAATATTAACACTTAAAAGAATGTTTTATAACCTCGTAAATATGCAATGGCCCCTAAAAACAGTTTCTGAACCTCTTCTTATGTGGTCCACATTAAGGAAGAGCAAAATAGTTCAGAATAACAGAGTGGAATTATGACCTTTATAAATGGTTTGGTCACCTTAAACTATCTTAATTAATTTGGAAAGGAATTATGACCCTTTTATAAAATAGTTGTCACCTAATCTAATTAATTTGGGAAAGGAATTATGACTTTTATAAAATAGTTGGTCACTGAATCTCTAATTAATTTGGGAAAGAGCAAGCAACATCCACTCCTTCGTCAGGCGATTCTTGACAATAATTCTTAGGTTAATTCTGCATCCACAAGCTGAAGAATTGGAAGCGACACCAAACACGCCGATGTTACAGGTAGTCGTTATTGATAGGAAATATTCGTTTATTAATATTCATGGCAGTCGTTGTTGATAGGAAATATTAATATTTGTTTATTAATATTCATGGCAGTCGTTGTTGATAGGAAATATTAATATTTGTTTATTATTCATGGCAGTCGTTGTTTGATAGGAAAATATTAATATTTGTTTATTAATATTCATAGGCAGTCGTGATGTTGTAGTCTTGTTGATAAATATTAATATTTGTTTATTAATATTCATGGCAGTCGTTGTTGATAGGAAATATTAATATTTGTTTATTAATATTCATGGCAGTCGTTGTTGATAGGAAATATTAATATTCGTTTATTAATATTTATGGGGACTCGTGAATACAGCAGCGGAATTAGTCGACGTAGGGAATTTCGAATATGCCAAGTAATGGGATTGGGAATGATTAGGGAAGTATAAGAATGAGAAAGCGAGAAAAAAGGAGGGGTCGATTACTTAATGTCCAAGTAAATAACGGAGAGGTAACTAAGCTGACTGTCTCAATCTTATCTCACATCTTTTATTACGTTTATTGTAATGATAACTGATTTTTTATTAATACGAAAAGGAAGTGTAAATGCAGAATTAACCTTAGAATTATTAATGGAAGAGAAAATTCCTTGTTTATTGTTGATTCACCCAGAGGTATGCTACCAAATGTTTATTTTTTTTTTACAAAATAAAAAGGAATTGGTAAAAAAAAAAATAATAATATTTGTATCTTTGACATAGTCAACAGAAGACTGAATTCGATTCATCCGAGGAGCCTTTGAAGACCTTTATGCTACCCATTTTAAAATTAGGTGTCAAAATTGGCTTTC